AGCTGGCTGAGGAATTCTGGGAGTTGAAGTCCACAAGTCTTAAAGTTGCCAAGGTTGGACACCCCTGCATTAAGCCATACACAAGTCCTGTTTTTAAACAATATCATAACAGGATTTTAGTTTCAAAGTACTAAAAATAATGGCCACATGAAGATTTTTTTTAATTAATTGCAGGAATGTCATTGAAATTATTGACTTTGGAATTTCTTGGAGGTATCCTGGCTCATAGGTAACTTCCAATAAAAGAACTTTTGATCAAACACACACCCAATTGGTTTTCCATTGCTCATCCAGTATTAAAATCCTTTCTGTATGGGCCACATGATATGTACAGAGCTGTTTATTTGACCTGGTGAAAGAGGTAATGCTTGAATGAAACATGGAAGAAGTCTCCACAAATGCAATTTCCCCCCCATTTGCATTTCAATCAATATATTGATGGGTCCTTGGTGCTTTCTAAGCTTGGTGTTTTTTTTCTTCAGACGTTTCATTACCCAATTAGGTAACATCATCAGTGCTAGAAGGGAACGAGATTTGCAGGGAAGAGCAGGAGGAGGAGGAAAACTGTGAGGTCCTTGGTGCTCTCTGAGCTCTGAGCTTGGTTCTTTTCTTGCAGATGTTTCATTACCCAACTAGGTAGCATCATCAGTGCTTGAAGGGAGTTGGGCTTGCAGAGAGGAGGAGGAGGAGGAAGAGGAGGAGGGGGAGGAGGACTATGGGGTCCCTGGTGGTCTCTGAGCTTGGTTGTTTTCTTGCAGACGTTTCATGACCCAAACCAGGTAACATCATCAGTGCTAGCACCAAGGGCCTCTCATTTCAACCTTCGAATTATTCGCTTCTATTGGAAACCATAAATTGCCATTTGTACATCCTGGAATTACGTACAAACAGCACCAATCCTAATTAGGCAAGCTAATGAATTGGCACCGAGAAGCGTTGTCGGCGTAGCTGGATGTTGGAGCTGAGAGCATGGCTAGAATCCAGACAGCCCTCAGATCCCCGGGCTTCCCTTACTTTTAACCCGCATGTCAGACATCGCTGCCCCATCCGACCTGACTTTCTGCCGCTATTCACCGTTTTCGCTCTCTTCTCTTCCCTTTCCCACTTTTCTAATCTACGGCCTAACCCTTTGCTTGTCACGCCGCCCAGCATGTAGAAACCAATTAAGGGGGTTTTGCTCTTAACTTTGGTAGTTCAGAAATGGGGCACGGATGAAGTTGCTGCTTGGTTGGAGCTGCTGAGTTTGGGAGAATACAAAGAAAACTTCATCAGCCACGACATCCGAGGGGCCGAACTTTTGCACCTGGAGAGGCGAGACCTGAAGGTATTGGCGTTGTCGTGCTACCTTTTTCTTCCCTGCCTTATGAGCCTTTCAAAAGAATGGATGTAAGCTTTCCCTCACCCCTCTTTCCCTATCCCACCAATGTACTTGTAGCTTGGCTTTTTAACACGTCAACCTGGCTTAACACACCTGGCTAAAAAACGGCTGTCTTGTTAGGCTGAATTTCTCTACCTGGTGAGAATAAGAAGGACAACTATTTTCCTTTTGAAAGAGGTCTTAGAGAGCCTTGGAGTCTTAGTGGACAATCCCTTAAACGCAAGGCAGCCATGTGCTGACACAATCCTTGCTTGGATAAACAGAGGTGTAAAATCAAAATCCCGTGAAGTATTACTACTGCTTTCTAAAGCCTTAGTAAGGCCACACCTGGAATTCTGCATCCAGTTTTGGTCACCCCATTACAAAAAAAAGATGGAAAAAGTGTAAAGAGGAGCAACTAAGATGATTTAAAGGTCTGGAGACTAAAACGTATGAATGGTTGCAGGATTTGGGTATGTCTAATCTAGAGAAAAGAAGGACTAGCAATATTCCAGAATTTTGGGGGGGGGGGGGCCTTCCCCAAAGAAGATTGGGGCAAACAAGCTCTTGTTGTGTTCAGTTTGGGTTTCATTGTGGTTTTTTTTTGCTTATTATTATTTGTGGTGTATGTGTGCTTCTCGCACCTTCCCGTCAAACCGTAATCTACAAAAACACAAATTGTCAGATATAATGATCGAGAGAGAGAGAGAAAGAGAGACGTTTAACATCCAGTTTGCATGTTAAAAGAAGCATTTAAGGTTGGTTCAGGGCTGTAACGAGAGCAGAGTGTGAATACAAAAAATAAAATAAAATCAATATAGCAATTAAAGCTCTGGATTTGATTCCAAGAGCAAAAATAGTAGCTTTTGTGTAGCTCTTTAAAGTGGCCACATCTTTTCCTGGATTACGGAGGCCAGCAGTGTGATTCTAGGTGAGGACTTTAAAGAGTTGCAGAGAGGGATGCTACGTTTGCACTCTTGTATGCTTCCCAAGTGTTTGCAAAGCATTGCACAACGCTAAACGCAGCGCATGTACACACACAAGCACAAAGAACTTGGATAAGACATCTTTGAAAGGTTTACTGGCATCGAATTTTGTATTGTAGTAACAACTTGGGTGTGTTTAGCCCTGTAGACTGCTGACATTACAGAAATAAGTCTGTATGCAGGGGGTCTGTGACTTACAACCACAATGGAGCCCATAATATCCGTTGCTAAACGAAACCGTTCTTAAGGGAGATTTGCCCCTATTCTACGACCTTTTCTTGCCACCGTTGTTGAGTGGATCCCTGGGAGTAACATGGTCATTAAATGAATCCGGCTTCCCCCATTGACTTTGCTGGTCAGGAGGTCTCAAAAGGAGATCCTGTGAGGCCAGGACGCTGGCAACTGTCATAAATACGAGTCGGTTGCTAAGCATCTAAATTTTGATCACGTGACCACAGGGATGCTACAAAGGTTGTAAGTGTGAACAACGGTCAGAAGTGACTTTTTTCAGGGCTGTTGTAACTTCAAACGGTCACTAAACGAGCAGGGTACGTTGAGGATTAGCCGTCTTCATATTTCATGGTGGGGTTTAAGAGAAGAGAAAATGGAGGAAAACCAATGACATTTATTAATTTTAGGGAAGATCATATTGACCCACCCAAAAATCTCTTTTAACAGCCAAGCTCAGCGAAACTCTGAGCTCTTGTTGTGTTGCTCCGCTGTCAGGCCGTCATAAACTGGAGCCGGTCAGTGGAAGCATGAATTGAAATGAACATCGGAGGGCAGCAGCGCATAACTAGGAACAGGCAAACCAATGTGGAAATTCTGGGTTTTGAACGAAGTACGCTGGAGGCTGCAACGGGCAGCAAAGCAGGAGCGTAAACCTCTTGTAATTCATTACATATGAATTACTCCGTGAGCTGATTGTCCCTGGAGATTCTCAGCCCTCCAGGTCATGGTTGTCCCAAAGGTGTTTTTTTCAAGAGGCGACTGGACTTCCTTGGTTTCATCTGAAGACGTTTCGCTTCTCATCCAAGGAGCTTCTTCAGTTCTGAAGAAGAAGAACTGAAGAAGCTACTTAGATGAGAAGCAAACATTTACAAAGGAGATGTCTATGGAGATTCTCAGTCTTCCAGGTTGTCCCAAATGTGTTTTTTCAGGAGGCAACTAGACTTTCTTGTTTTTTCTATTGAAGACATTTCACTTCTCATCCAAGAAGCTTCCCCAGACTCCAGGACTGGCCCAGGTTCCTCCCCCAATCTCCTCACTGTCCAAATCTGCTGCCAGATCCGCTGGCCGCTGTCAGGCCACAACAGCTGGGGACTTGCTTTCCAATCTTGAAATCCTATGAAGATGTGCCTCCAACCACATTTTAAAAAAAAAAAAGAACAAAAACCACTTTGTTGTAGGACGACATCGTGTATAAGTGACTTCGTTTGTGATCTAAAGTCAATATTTATTTCTGATGCCTAGTTTGTTCTATTAGACTTCCGAATGCTTGCTTTGATATTTAAGGCTGTGGCTGGTTATTTTAGTTGCCTTAAGCTGGATATTTGAAGATGGTACGGCAAAACGGTCATTTCCATAGCTGCCATTCAAGAAACGAATGTGGATCCTTGTAAAATTTGATTTGGTATCATTCCACGTTCCAGGGAGACAAACCAAGTCTAAAATCTAAGAAATAAAGAATACAGGGGGGAAAAAATAGACAGCACCACTTCTTTTACAAAAGTTTTCATTAGAAACAAAATTCCGTATCTAAGTAAGTTGATATCATCATCATTTAATGACCCCATAATCCCTTGAGGGGTGGAGTCTGGGCAACTAAATGGAGCTAGCGGAGTGTTTACTGGCCGGATGCCCTTCCTGTCACTAGGGCGGATTTTGGTTCAGCAGATACATTCTCATCATGCCCAGAAAGAGAAATATCTGCCTCTACCTAGGATTGAACTCACAGCCTCCTGATTGTGAGGCAAGAGCTCCTCCTCTAGGGCCACCACACCACTGTCTAAATAAGTTGATATGTATGTGGGGGGGGGGGGGGGGAATGAACTAATTGACTAAAATGGGTGCTCTCTAAACTAGCTTTATTGCCAAAAGTTAAATGATCTTCTGCTGCTCTGGATTTGTGTGAATGAATCTGTCTTCTCCCTTGTCCCGTAGGATTTGGGGATAACGAAAGTGGGTCATATGAAGCGAATTCTTCAGGGAATTAAAGAATTTGGCAGGAGCCCACCGTTGCCGGAAGTGTAGCTGTGCCGGCTGCTCCGCTGAGGAAGTGCTACTTACACAAAGGTGTAGAAGGATGCGGGTTCCTCCCGGGCGAGTAAACGCCAGGTTGTGAGAAGAGCGTTAACTCTGATCGGGGCGAGGTTTGACGAACAAGCCGGATGCGAGTATCCAAAAGGTTTTGTGGGTCTAAGTCATCCTCTTTTCATGACCCCCATAATCCCTTGCAGGGTGGAGTCTAGGCAGCTGAATGGAGCTGAGTGTTTACTGGCTGGATGCCTTTCCTGTCGCCACTGTGGAGTTTTGTTCAGCAGATTTATTCTCATTGTGCCCAGATAGAGAGAGAAATATCTGCCTTTAACTCTACAGCTTCCTGATGGTGAGGCCAGAACTCCACCTCTGGGCCACTGGGCCACTCTTTTGTGGGTTTAAAAAGGCTGTGAAATATATGACGAGAAGTAATCAAAATGTCTCCATTACAGTAAAAACAACAACAACAACAGCACGTTTCCTGCGTAGCATGTACATTATTGGGACCCCGGCAATCCACCCAGATCCTTTTCAGGTTCTTTCCATTTGCAAATGACAAATCATTTTACAAAATGGGATTGTTCTGTTTGACAAATCCTTGAAGCCTCACTTTATCCAAGAGCCTCCAGTGTCTTCGTAGACTCGATCCCATACGGATGTTTCGGGGGTGGTACCTCAAAACCATCATTCTCTCGGGGTTGTTGTTTCCCCCCCCCCCACACTCTTTCATTGGCCGAAAATAACGTTGGACGGCGTGAACGGAGAGGCCAAAACACCTGTTTTTTTTTCCCCAGCCCAAACTGCCTGCCTGTTTGCATGATAACTTCTTACACTTGAAGAACTTTTATATCTGTTTTTCATAAGGTTTAATTTATTACTGAGTTTTTTGGGTATGTGTGTGTGGGGTGGGTGGGTTAGGGATTTTATTTTATTTTCCCCTGATGTGATAGAAACACGCTGCGTGTGGCGGACATCGTTGCCGTATTCTAACTGTGGGAAAACCTCTTCTACTCTGGCTTCAGGTAATTTCAGAGTATTTTTTTTTTGAAAAATGCTAGAACGGGGCAGGCTTAGGGTTTGATTTTCCCAAGGGAGAACCATCTGAATATTGATAAAATACGCCACGCTTACTCTCTTCCTTAAAGCAACTCCAAGTTTACCTCGGATGTCTGAGCTTCAAAATGTGGCAGCCGAGCGACTCAAAGCGCATCAAATTTGATGGATGTCAAGTCTCAATTATGCCATTTTAATGAAAGAGGGGAAGGTTACAGAACCCCGCCTTTAACGTTAAGCCAAGTATTATTTATTTATTTATTTTCAGTTTAGAGATGGATTTAGCCTCCTGGGAAATATTGTCATCCCATGGTGGGTGAGTTTGGATGGGAAAATTTGGTGGATCGGGGCAGAAAAAGAAATCCCATTTCTGAAAAATTGTGCCTTTTGCTTCAGAGCCAGGAAAGTTTAGATTCTAGATATTACTGAAGTTAGGAAGATCAGCAAAGGAATCCAGAAAAGTTAAGATGGTATCTTGTGGATGGACTCGAACTCCCACTCTGGATGAACTACAGTTCCCAACAGCCTCCACCGTTGTTTAGGGAGGTTCTCCATCATTCCAGGTCATGGTTTTCCCAGAGGTGCTTTTTCCAAAAGGCAACTGGACTTCCCCCCTCCCTTTGAAAAAAAATTTATTCCTCATCCTAGATCGAAGCTTCTTCAGTTCTCCGTGAAGGGGAATTGAACTGAACAGAAGGAGCTTTGTGGATGAGAAGCGGAACGGAAGCGGAACAATGCCCCAGAGGGCAGGAGAGGAAGCAAGGGATGGAAACTAATTAAGGAGAGCAGCCACCTGAAACTCAGGAGAAAATTCCTTATGGTTAGAGCAATCAACCAACGGAACTGCTTGCCACCAGAAGTTGTGGGTGCTCCAACACTGGAGGTTTTTAAGAAGAGATTGGACAACCATTTGTCTGAAATGGGTATAGGGTTTCCTGCCTGATGGGGTTGGACTAGAAGATCTTTGAGATCCCTTCCAGGCCTGTTATTCTATTCTATTCTATTCTATTCTATTCTATTCTATTCTATTCTATTCTATTCTATTCTATTCTATTCTATTCTATTCT